CTATGAATGCAAAAGGAAATACAGTGGTTGACTTGAAAGCCCTTTTGCAGTTTTGCCACTATGCATCAAAAACCAAAATTATAGAGTACAATAAGATATTTTTTTGGTTCCTTGATACTACATAATGAAGAATCGTTCATCTTTTACTGACTTATTTCAAGAAACTCAACATATGCTTCAATATAGTATATTAAGACATTGTTAACTGTGGCTATTTGGCGAAATGGCCAGGATAAAGCTGTGAAAAATCTAAATCATAAAATTAAAAAAATAAATGCAGTTGCTTTTAGATAAAGCTCATGCACTAAATATATTCATAGAACGTATTGGCAAATTAAAGTCCTTAGAGCATTGTGTTAACGAACAGATAAAGATTTGTGATGCTGTTCTTGGTAACCACTTCACAAACTATATATAGCAAAATTGATTAATCATACTATGAATTTTCTTACAACCACCCACCCCCCGATGGATATTGTGAAGATTAAAAGTTCACAAACTCAGAGTTTCACTCAACCCAAATATACTTCTAATCTGTTTTATAGGGATTTGGGAGTTCTGTGACTGAGAAGGTCACTATAGCTTTTAAAGTTTGAAGCTTCACCCCTCCCTATACTTCCATGTTGATGTTGTAGACCAAGGTGGAAGCATAGGGTATATTCTACCTCTATATGGTAGAAGGTTTATAAAGTGAAAACAAACATGGTGACTGATTCTGACTTCTAAAATCATTGAAAATGTTCTACTAAGTACAAAAACAAAGTTGTCAGGACACTGTTATAGTCACAAAGCCATTTAAAAGTACCTAGCCTCTGCCTGACCTTCTTAAGATTAAATCAGGTGCTGCTGCTATCTATGTTTATCTACTTTTTTCTTTAGCAGAGCACTTGTCAACTGGTATTATAATTCCTAGATTATCTGTCTGTCTCCCCTACTAGACTGTAAGCCCTATGAGGATGAGAACTACATTTACAAACTTCCACAGTATTATACTTTTAATGAATCCTCTCCCACTAGATGGTTGGTTCCACATCTGTGATGTTTACCATTTGTCTCCCCAGCTAGTCATCTCATACGTGTTTGCTGAACAAATGCCCACAGCCTAGTAGTGTTAGCAAACTCAAATAATTTAGTGAACTAATGAATCAATTTTCTAAAGCAGACCATGCTTTTCTTCTTCCCAGAGCTGACTGAGTGTTCATCAAGCTCCTGGAGGATAAGAATCATTCTGAGGTGGCCAAAAAGACCAAACTCTGTGCCTTAAAACATGCAAAATTAATCTCAGACACTTGAGCATTAGAAATTCTTATTTGTGGGTTCTTGACTCTACCCACCCTGAGTGGGCTTCCAAAAATTAGAGATTCACATTCCTTGACTGAACAATGTATATCCTCTATGAGAACATCTCATTTCCTTTGTTAAATATATGCAAGAGGATTATAAAAAGAACAAAGAGAGATGGAAGAACACCTCTATTCAGCCTTTCAGATCAGCTCAATCTATACAGGCAACCAATGGAGACAGAAGTCTGTTTTTAGGTCCCCCACACAAATTCTACATTGAAAAGGCAGCAGGCAAAGGAACAACAAGATTAGGAGACGACAAATTATTTTCACTAAAAATTCACACATATTGAAATTAATGTGATGCCTAAATCCAATAATTATCATTATTGACTAGTTGTTAAATAAACATTAAAAAGAGAGCTATCTCATTTGTGACTTTAACTTTAAAATCCTCCACTGCACTCAAATATAGACTATATATGCAAACAAGAAAGGAAAGGAATTTAACCAGAGTTAGAAGTAATACCCCTTCACTTACACTGTGACCAAATTTAGTAACTTCATGAAAACAACTGAAGCCTCAATTCCTCCTGTGAAACAATTTCTTGAGGCTTTTAATCACAAGAGCTCTGTTGAAGATCTCTAGTTCGGTGGTCTCTCTCCTTCCCTCTTTCAGTGCTGCTCCTAGTTGATCATTCCAGATTCCCTCACCCAGGGGTCTGCCCCAGCCCACTGAGCCAACCCCAGCACTGGAAGGCTCCTTCTCCAGGGCTGCTGACTGGCCAGAGAGAAGGAGAATGCTGATCTATGTTCATTAGAGGTGATTACTCTTCACTTCAAATCTTGGTGTTGATTATAAATGCACACTTGTAACTGTGCATATAACCACGCAGAAAATAAGGTCAAAGACCTCAGTTTACCTTTATGTCTGATTCGTGGCTCTACAAACCTAAATTTGTATTGGATCCCCTACCTAGGTTCCTAGTGTTTGTTTCAAAAGGAAGAGAGAAGCAGAGAAGCAGGGAAGCAGGAAAGGGAGTAAGTGGTCAGACAGCTATAGAAAAGCACCTGAAGAGGAATTGCACTGGTAAAATTCTTCTTGAGCCCTCTCACCATTCAGCTCTTTCTAGGATAAGCATCCCAATTCTTAGGTCCTCATTCATGATCTGTAAGCAACTTTCCCTGGCTTTTCATTCAGAGTCTTTCTGCTTCGCTCAAGTAAAATTCTATTCCATCTCTAGGGTGTATCCCTTCTTGTGTTTACGCAGAAATACTAATTCCCTCAAAAGCCCCCAGTTTCCCATCAGTTTTCTTCTAAGAAGCTTTTCTTCACTACCTTTTATCCAGACCTAGATTCCTCCTCTTCCTTCTTCCATGCTCCTTGTAGGACCTGTGTTTAGTAAACTCATTTGTTTGGTATTGTTTTCATTGTGTTTTGTGACTGATTCTCATTTGCTCTTCACAGGTAGTGATAATCACCTTGGCTATTTCATAACCTCATAATCTAATACATAGTTTTAAAAATAACATCTGAAGAATTGGGTTGATCTGTGAAAAATGATGTTGGTATTTAACAGGGATTGCACTGAATCTGTAGATCACTTTGGGTAGTACAGACATTTTAACAATGTTGATTCTGCCACCCCATGAGCATGGTATGGTTTTCCACCTGTTTACGTCCTCTGCTATTTCCTTCCTCAGTGTTTTGTAGTTCTCCCTGTAGAGGTTTTTCACCTCCTTAGTTAAATATATTCCTAAGTATTTTATTTTCCATGCTTCGTATGGAACTAGAGAAGACTCCGTACAGCAAAAGCAATCTTAAGCAAAAAGTACAAATTGGGAGGCATCAATTTATCAGACTTCAAGCTATACTACAAGGCTATAGTAACTAAAACAGCATAGTACTGGCTCAGGAACAGAGACATAGACCAATGGAACAGAACTGAGAACCCAGATTTAAAACCATCCTCATATAGCCATCTAATCTTTGACAAAGCAGACAAAAACATACACTGGGGAAAAGAATCCTTATTCAATAAATGGTATTGGGAAAATTGGATAGCCACATGTAGAAGACTGAAACAGGATCTGCACCTCTCACCAAAATCAACTCACGGTGGATGGCAGACTTAAACCTAAGGCATGAAACTATAAGAATTCTAGAAGAAAATGTTGGAAAAACTCTTTTTTTTTTTTTACCTAGACATTGACCTAGGCAAAGAATTTCTGAAGAAGATCCCAAAGGCAATCATAGCAACAAAAATAAATAAATGGGACCTGATCAAATTAAAAAGCTCTGCACAGCCAAGGAAACTACCACGAGAGCAAACAGATAACCTATAGAATGGAAGAAAATATTTGCATGCTACATATGTGATAAAGGGCTGATAACTAGAATCTATATAATACTCAAGAAAATCAGCAAGACGAAAATCAAACGACCCCATTAAAAAGTGAGCAAAGGACATGAACAGAAACTTTTCAAAAGAAGACAGACTAATGGCCAAGAAACATATGAAAAAATGCTCGACATCTCTAATCATCAGGGAAATGCAAATCAAAACCACAATGAGATATCATCTGACTCTAGTGAGAATAGTTTTTTATCAAAAAGTCCCAAAACAATAAATGTCTACGTGGATGAAGAGAGATAGGAACACTCATACACTGCTGGGGGGACTGCAAACTAGTACAACCTCTGTTGAAAGCAATATGGAGATTCCTCAAAGAGCTAAAAGTAGAACTACCATTTGATTCAGCAATCCCATTACTGGGCATCTATCTACCTGAAGGAAAAAAAGACATTCTATAAAAAAGACATCTGCATGTGAATGTTTATAGTAGCATAATTCACAATTGCAAAGATGTGGAAACACCCCAAGTACTTATCAATACATGAGTGGATTAATAAAATGTGGTATATATATATATATATATATATATATATATATACCATGGAGTTCTACTCAGCCACAAAAAAACAATGGTGACCTAGGACCACTTGTATTATCCTGGATAGAGTTGGAGCTCATTCTAGTCAGTGAAGTATCACAAGAATGGAGAAAGAAGCACCACATGTACTCACCATCAAATTGGTATTAACTGATCAACACTTATGTGCACATTTAGTAGTAACATTCATCGGGTGTCAGGCAGATGGGAGGAGGGGGGGATGGGTATATTCACACCTAATCGATGCGGTGTGCACTGTCTGGGGGATGGACATGCTTGAAGCTCTGACTCGGGTGGGGCAAAGGCAATATATATAACCTAAACATTTGTACCCCAGTAATAAGCTAAAATAAAAAAAACAAAATAAATTAATTAAAAAAACAAACAAAAAAAGAATTTGGTTGAAACACATATGATGCTATTTTTAATAGGTGAAAAATAATCAATGGTGTTATATGGTTCAACTGAATACTCATATTAGAACTCAATAAATGCTCTTAAATAAGCATGTCTTCTTGTCACCTTCTTCCTCAGGACAATTGTTTAGACACTGCCCCACAATGGTTAAGTCCTTCTCTCTCAAACCTGTAAAAAGTTTCTCCCCAAACTTATTAAAGGGTTCAGTGCTTCTTCCAAATGTCGAGTTCCTATTACAAAACAAAACATTATATTGCATAACTGAAATAACAAATAATTTTATGACATTTCTAAAAATTTAGCAAAACAGGTGAACTCAGGTTGAATAACAAAACTTGAACTTGCCTTCTTCTGTAGGATTAAACCCACAGATGTCGCAAATACAACGAACCCACTTATTCATCTCCTCCTCACTGTCTGCTACCAAGTAGAAAATCCGGTCAATAGTGTTGATGTCAAAAATGTAGCTGTTTTCAAACTCTTTTTTGTTAAATGTCAATCCAGCATCAACTTGTTGACATAAATTTAAATCTATAATACGAATAGGCTTCTTGGCATGATCATTTTTGTAATATTCCAAGACATCTGGATCTCCGGTTAAACGGCCACTGCGTAACACAAACCATCTCCTCTTCCATGCCTAGAAACAAAACAAAAATATCCATTTAGTATTAGTTTGACAGAAATTTTTCATGAAGATGCACATTTATCAAACCAATTTTATCAAATGCATTGTCTAGAGAAATTTACAATTTTTTTTACCATAGGATAATCTGCCATTCTGAAAAGCAAAGTTTACTGACACCTCAATTAATAATACATATATAGAATATCTCTCCTATTAAATTTCTAACTATATAGTATCAAATCAACAAACTGAAGAAGGTTTGGTTTTACTAAACATAAAAAAGCAATGGTTTTAAGAAATGGTATTGGGAAAACTGGATATCCGTATGCAAAAAGAATGAAGTTAGACATTAAGCTAAATAAAATAAGCCAGTCACAGAAGGCAGATTGATGGTTGCCAGGGGCTGGGGAGAGGGGAAGTAGGGAGTTAGCGTTCAGTGGGTATATAGTTTCAGTTGGAGAAAATAAAAAAGTTCTGGATGTCAACGGTGGTGATGGTTGCACAACAACGTGAATGTACTTGATGCCACTGAACTGTATACTTAAAAATAGTTAAGATGGTAAATTTTGTTATGTTTGTTTTACCACAATTTTTTAAAAAGCAGTGTTTTCCATGCCTTAATATTATGCCATAAAGAATACACATAAAGATGCTTCTTCATAAGACTCTTACAGATTTTAAACTCTAGATTTCCTTTTTTTTTTTTTTTTTTTTTTTTTGGTGTGAGGGGCAAGGCGTAGGGAGGGGGAAAAGGGTTTAGCAGCTTTCCTGACTTCTCACTTGGGAAGCAAGCCACAGACTGTGTCTTTCTTTTGGTCAGGCAGCATGTTGTTTAAAGACTACACAAATAAGATCTGTAATCTTGAGCATGGGATACAACTATTTTTAGTCCTCTTCCTCCTCTTCCCAACAAACACATATTGGCAGTGCGGACCTATACTCAGCACATATTCCCCCCACAAGTTCTGGGAAGTTTTGAGTTTAGTACTATGCCTAGAAAAGCCAAGGAGGCTTTTTTTTTTTTTAAAGGAGGATAATACATTTTTACTATCGTCCTCCTTAAAATTTATATCCACCAAATAATAAAAGCAGAACCAAACAACAGTCTTCTTCATCAGTCTTTAACCAACTTCTGTGCCTGGAAACAAACTTAAGCCTTATTCTTCTTTGAAGTTCTCCCTACCTGCAAAGCAGTGAGCTAGATGGAAAAGAGGCCTATTTCAGCAAGTCTCAGTCACCTACTAAGAGACATTCTGTGCTCCAGACTGAACATTCAAGGTAAGATCACCTCAAGAGGACATTCCAAGAAGAGGAAGGACTGAGAAACAAGACATTTTATGAACCCCAATGGAATAAAACATGCTTACTGGCCACTGTATATTTCTGTTTATTTGGAGATCATGACTGAGCACCAATCACAACATCTCGATCCTTTAGTTTTAGAAAAGTATAACCAACCAGAAATAGCATGTCTCTTTTCCACTAATAACTTGGGATAATGACAAACTTACGCTTATGGCATTTTCAGAAATGTTTCTCGTCATAGTATACAAGTTTGGTGTTCTACATACAGTCTAATAGACCATGAATGCTCAATATGTTAGTACCATTAAAATAGGCCAATTTCCCCAAATCACTATTTCTATGCCTTCATTAACATACATATCAGTCTATTTATAGGAAAATATCTACTAAATTTAAAATCACCAAAAGCAATATAGTATGACATGATAGGGTCTCCATATTTATGTTTTACAAAATTTGGCATACGTGACACAAAAAGTATTGTAGTGCCAACTAAAAACAGCTTCATTCTATCCTGAAAAATACACACGGGCCAAGAGAATAAAGGAATAATAACTAAAATACACACACACTTCTCCAGCAGATGTTTAGCCTTAGCCTCCATCTTCATCACATTTTATAATAACTTCTGACATGAATTGCTTTTGAGCAATTGCTTTTCTCCGGTGGAGGTGCTAGGAAGCTATGACAATTGTTTGGAGCAGAGACAAAGAAAATGTAAACTACGTGGTTTGAGCAATCCATAAACCAGCTTGCTCAGTCTTTAATAATTTGGACAACTGAGCTGATAATAACTGAATTAATTTGGGTGATAACTTTAGGTTTAGTATTTTAAGAGATGCCTTAAATTGTATCCATTCAAGAAAATGTCCAATACATTAAGAAGAAAATCAGTGAGTTAATAAATCAATATGTTATTGATTATACTGCAAATACTGTGCCACTGTGGGAAGAAAGACAAATATGTAATTCATGATTCGCATCTTCAAGGAATTGACTAATTGTGAAGAAAATACTTAACATACATGAAAATACTTGAGAATATAGCAACCCTGGCAAAATATCTGCAGAACTATTCTAAATGAACAGGCATTCCTTTATGGAAAAACTTATGCAATCCTTTAACAAGAAGATTACTAGAAAAATCATAAAGGCTGAAAAATATTGTGTATAATAATTGTTTAATATCATCTATACCTTAAATTAACTTCCCAAACTGACTGCAGCTCAAAGGAAAAAGTAAATAATTGGTGTCCAGAAGGAAAAGGTAGGATAGAGTCCTATAGATGTTTTAGATAATATTGAGAAGTCATAAAGTGTTACATTCACATGATCTTAGCACAAGTTTCTGGATTATAGATCTGTTCATTTACTATATATCTATTTACTTCAAAATAAATAAATGTCATCTCTTAGTAAAATTATGCCTCTATGGATACTTCTCTATGAAGCAGCAAGCTCGAAAAAGTAATGACGAAATAAAGGGAAAAGAACAGAGAGTACTATGTCATTCATCCAGGGCCATCAAGGAATATGTTCTAGTAAGTCATTTCTCCAGATAGTGAAGTTTCCATCTTTAAATACAGAAGTGACTTTTTAAAACTTTAATGTGTTCCATGGAAATCTTTCTAAAATGCCTTACTACATAATTCATTGAACATATCTACCCATTCCCCAATGGTTCAGGCTAAGTATTATAAGCATCAATTTCTATATTGCACTTCAGAGAGGCTCTGAGAGGCTGCTGGGCTGTTTGGAGGGTTATCTGCTCTTATACGACATAGTGCCATACTGCTGTGCTTCTATAGTTCATCTATAATCTTTTAAATACAGTTTTCTTTTTTCTCTTAAGTTTTATCAATTGTCACTTCTCCCTTTGAATAATATGGTTTACAGGAGGCTACACTGTTTCCTGCCTCAGGGACTTTGCACGTGCTGTTTCCTAAGTCCACTAGGTTCTTTCCCCCAGTCTTTGCCTGGCTAACTTCGACCTTCAGGCCTTCCCTGACCATCTGCAACTTAACCACCCCCCATGTAAAGTAAGGCATAGTTTCAGACACTGTTACTTACCTATGTAGTGATTTGCATAATTTTGCAATTCAATTTTTCTTTGTATTTATTGTTTAGCACCTAACTCCCAACCAGACTGAAAAATCCAAAATAGTGGTCATGTCTGCTTTATTTGCCATTACATACCCAGTGCATAGCACAGTGCCTGGTACATAGAACTATTTATACAGTAAATAGAATTTCTCTAAGAGTAAAAAGTTGTAAAAATTTTAAGCATATTAGATTGGCTATATGGGCCACAATGAAAAGAAAGGAATGCTTTCAAATCCTCTTCCCTTTGGGAAAAAGAGTGCAGGTACTAAACACATACATGATAAAATAAACATAACTAAGATAACTTTACCACCAACACATGCACAAAACCCCTTGGGAAAATGACAAAAACAGAAAAGAATGAAGCGTGTCCTTTTGATACAGATTTTATGTCGCTCTGTCTTCTGGTTGATCCATTCCTTTGCTTCCTTGCTGAAATCACATTGTTAAATTTCAAAAGGCCTTAAAAACTAAAATAAATAACCAAGAAATGACTAGCAATGAACTGAGGTACACTAGCTACACTGGGCTAGTGATTACAGCGGCTGAGTAGACATTATACAAGACATGAACCCTTACAGCAGGAAATTACAGCATTAAAAGACAGAATTTAGCCAAGCAGCACCTGCCACTTATTTATTTATTTTTAACATGGTCCAAATGTGAATATTTGTCTCAGTCACAAAATGAGTCACTCTCATTGAATCTGGCACAGATTAAACTGGAAAACAAAAGCAATTACATAAACTACACACTTTAATAAGGCAGATACAAAGGTTCTCTGGATTATGGTACAAAGCACAATTTAGCCACAGAATAAAGCTTGATGCTCGACAAGAGAACTGACATCAGCACCCTTGCTAATCACAGCACAAAAGCTTCTCTATGTTTTGTGAGAGCACAAAATGGGCCCACATAAATCAGTCTTTGTTATCTGAAAATATCTGGGATTCTTAAAGTTTGTCCTATTTTTATCCTTGCTGCCTTGGTAGCTCCAGAGAAAGCTGAACACTGCTTTGCCAATCCTGCGGAGCAGTAACAGACAAAAAGGGTAAGTTTTCTAGAAACCTGCAGAACCAAATACTCTAAGCCATTTTAAACAAAATTCATGTAAAAATCATTTTAACTATTAAGACTTCCACTATGAACAGGTAATGAAGAAGTTGAAATCTGCAAGAAGTCTGCATAGTTGAGAAGAACTATGTAAAACTTATATTGCTGTCATTTCTTATATGCAACAGTCACTCCAATTTTAAATTGAATAAATGATGCAGTTAGCATGACTTCACCAGCCAAGTCTGCATTTTGGAGTAGCTTAAAAGTCTCAGCACTCTGACACCAATTCCCTGTGCTCAGTGACTGCCTCCTGCACCTAAAGGATAAAGCCCAAGCTCCCTGGCAGGGCACACTGGTGGGAGAGGCAGCCTCCAATCAACTCCTGCCCCACCCCTCAATCTCTCTAGCTTCACTTCTTACCTCTCTGCCTTCCAACCACATGGGAAATGTCTGCAATGCCCTGAACCCTCTCTGCTGTCCTGCCTCTGGCCCTGGGTCCTTGGTACATAATCTATCCCCTGGATTCAGCTCAGCCCTCTTCAGGGCAC